TTCAGTAACAAGTTTTGTTTTTGTCTCCACATCGCTGTAAAGCAGAAGTAACTAAGAAACTTAAAACAACAAAATTTCTCTGAATTTAAAACAAAACAAACTTAAAACAAAAATTTCTCTGAATTTTTCATGTGGGAAGCTTACTGTGTTGTGGCACCTCAGCTTCATCAGGATAATTTTAATGATAGCGTTATTTGGTAGGCAGCAAAATTTTGAATTTATCATCTGAAAGATTTAAATGTAATTTATGCAAGTGAGTCAGATTCTGTATAGATATTAAAATAAATGAAAATTGGGTTTCTTACCCTGCCAGCCCAAAGCTCCCTGCTTCTGAGCCAAGTTGCAGTGTTTGCAGCTGCAGACGATGTGGGCGGCCTGTTATGTAGACAGGACAGCTGGTGGCAGGGATGTTGTCCGAAATGGCACAGTCTTGTTAATGACTATTTGCTTTATGAAAACTGAGGTGTAAAAGACTTTTATTGGGTAATCTATCTTTAATTTTTGATCGTGTAAAGGACTTTTAGCCAACATCTTTTCAGCCCTTCCGCATCCGCATAACAAAAGGATTGCTAAAATGGGAGACTCTTAATAGACAAAATATAAATAAATGTAAACTTTGGCTTAGCCTGTCAGAATTAACAAAAATTCTGAGTCAGCAAAGTCCAAAATAATGAGATTTTTTTATTGTAGCATTAGATATAATTTCTGACAGGTTAGAATTGTTTCAAAATTAAATGAATATTGTTTCAGGGGAAAGTGAGGTTTGAAGAAACACAAAATTTTGCTACCAGGTGGAGCAAAATATGTGTTTGCACATTATCTATTTTTTTTTTTTTTTTTTTTTTGAGACAGTCTCAGTGTCACCCAGGCTACTCCTTGGCATCAGCCTAGCTCACAGCAACCTTAAACTCCTGGGCTCAAGCATCCTCCTGCCTCAGCCTTTGAAGTAGGTGGGACTACAGACACCTGCCTCCAGGACTGGCTAAGTTTTTCTATTTTTAATAGAGATGGGGTTTTGCTCTTGCTGAGGCTGGTCTCTAGCTTCTGACCTCTGAGCGATCCTCCTGCCTCTCTCAATGCTGGGACTGCAGGTGTGAGCCACTAGTGGCTGCAATACCTTTTTCACATTACTGTTTGCTTTAGAAGTTAGCTGTTTTCCTGGGGGTGACATGTTCTGAAAATTGGAACCTGGGCTACAGGGATCCTCCCACCTCAGGTGCACACCACCACACCTGGCTTTTTTTGTTTGTTTGTTAAGAAATGGGATCCTACTATATTGCTCAGGCTGTTTTTTGGGTTTTTTTTTTATTTCATTTTAAAGAAATTCACTGCTGAAAGCATAACATTTTGATGAGTTAGGGGATCTGAAGGGAAAATTTAGAGGTTATTACAGAATATGTTTGTGGAAGGAAATGCTTGAAGTCTCTTATCTGAAGCATGGGTATGTATCATTGCTTTGCACACATATCTGGTGTATTCTTAAGCTAGCAGAAATGACATGTTATGAAAGTTCTCCAAGTTCTCTTCCTTGGACCCATGTCGGGGTAGTCCAGATACCTTTTCTGGGGCTAAGGGGTCAAAACGATTCCCGTAACAATAGTCAAACACCATGAGCCGTTTCTCCCAAATTTGACTCTTGTACCATCGGAGCAAAGGCAGATTGAAGCACTGGAACCTTGTGCCCTTCACCATGTGCACTGCATGTTTAAAACATACCAGCTTCCCTAAGACTGTCCTTACGGAGCAGTGAATATTGTTAATTTTATTATCTCAACCCTCAAATACACATCTGTTTAACTTTGCCTGTGATGAAATGCCAAGTACACATGGAGCAGCTGTCTCCAGGCAGAGCCCTGTGGGCTGGGTTGGGAGCCAGGCCAGCCACCTTCTCAGGGCGCACCGTCTGTCCTTGACAGAGCAACAGACGATGGCAGTTGCAGACTCAGTATTTGGCAGATATTTTCTCCACAGTTAATTATGTGAGTCTCAAGGAAAGCAACTGACAGTATTTTTTTTTTTTTCTAAGAATAAGATTCTAGCTTTGGAGGGAAAATTAGAATTTTGGAAAACTTGTGTCTACCGTTGTGAGCTTGATGGCTTCCCAGTAATGACTTCTGAGATCAGAGCTGACATACGAAAGTGTGTTTCTTCTGTGTGGTCTAATGAAATGTGTTGACATTTGGAATCTCTGCCTGAAACCCAGTGAACTGGTGTTTTCCACATGACCGGCATATGCATGGGTAAAATATGCGTTCGAAGTACAACACAGACTTAATGTGAAAAAGCGAAAAGTCCATTGATAGGACTTTTTTCTTTTTTCTTTTTTTTTCTTTTTTTTTTTGAGACAGAGTCTCACTCTGTTGCCTGGGCTAGAGTGAGTGCCGTGGCATCAGCCTAGCTCACAGCAACCTCAAACTCCTGGGCTCAAACGAGCCTCCCAAGTAGCTGAGACTACAGGCATGTGCCACCACATCCGGCTAGTTTTTTCTATATATATTAGTTGGCCAATTAATTTCTTTCTATTTATAGTAGAGATGGGGTCTCGCTCTTGCTCAGGCTGGTTTTGAACTCCTGACCTCGAGCAATCCGCCCACCTTGGCCTCCCGGAGTGCTAGGATTACAGGCGTGAGCCACCGAGCCCGGCCCATTGATAGGACTTTTATGAAACTTATTACTTGCTGAGATTCGGTGTGATGTCCGAGAACATCCACAATATGTGAAAAGATTGTTAAAATACTCCCATTTTCTAAATGATACATCTGTGTCAGGTAAAATTTGTGGGGTTTTCTTAGTGTATTTCAGCCAAAACAATATGTGGGACTAGATTGAATGCAGCAGTAGACAGAAGAATCTCACTGTCTTCTGTTAAGCCAGAGATTTGCAAAAATATAAAACAATGACCTTAACACTATTTACTAGTTTGTTTGTTTGTTTGTTTGTTTGTTTGTTTGTTTGTTTTGGAAATAACATTACCTTTTCATATAAAAAAAAGTGTAATGGATTTATTTTTTAATATATATTTAAAATTTTAGAAATATCAGTAGATACATTCCACATAAAACCAAAGCTCTTTTGGGTCCTCAGCTTTTAAGAGTATTAAGGTGTCTTGAGACCAAAAAGTTGAAGAACTGCTGGAGAGCTTGAAGGTCAGCAGTCTTGCTCTTGGGTCACCTTGCAGGCTTTGCTAACAGCTATTGAGAAATGTTGGCTAGTATATGGATGTATTCTTCTTGAACCTAAAGTATCATCGCATTCATTATCCCTACTTCTACTTAGTAGGAAATGGAGCGGTTTTCAGCTGAGAGAATATTTGTGCTTAGAAATGTAGAAAGATAATTTTAAATTCATGTGTTCAGTGTTATCTTACAGTTGTTCACTTCCCAGTTTCAGGGATGCCTACCCTTCTCTTCCTCTCTGGGGAAAAATTGTTACTAGTATGATGTGATTGCAGTTTTATGACCACATTCCCCGTGTAATGTGCTATGTATTGTGTAGAATTACACACTAGTTACAAGTTGTGTTAGAAATGTAATACCCTTTACTTTTGCCTTGATAGATATATATTTTTATTCCACACGCTGGCTGAAATTTTAGGTTTTCTGTGTTGAAGAAATTGTGAAAAGAAAGAAATTTTGCCAAATACAAAATGATTTGATCTGTTCTGAATATTGTTCTTTTATCTCATTCTGTTTAACAAAAATAACTACATTTTTTCTTTTGTGATTATTCAGAATTCAAGTCCTGTCTAGAAACATGTTTATTTTTCAGATCAGTATAAATTTATTTTATTTTATTTACTTATTTTTATAGAGATGGGATCGCTCACTGCAGCCTCAAACTTCTGGGGTCAAGTGATCCTCCTGCCTCAGCCTTTTAAGTAGCTGGGACTATACAGGTGCACACCACCACACCTGGCAAAAGCTTTTTATTTTTATTTTTTAGAAATGGGGTCTCACTATGGTTGCTTGGGCTGGTCTCAGACTTCTGGTGTCTGGTGATCCCTCCACCTCGGCCTCCTAAAGTGCTGGGATTACAGGTGTGAGCCACCAAGCCTGGCCTGGATTAATATAAATTGAATTTTTTTTTATTTTTTTTGTTTCTTAGTACATCTTGATTTCTTTGCTTTTATAAATGCTCACTGTTGTGAAATGTAACTTTTATGTTTCTTCTGAGTAGTAGTTTGTTGAAGCAGTTGTTTTGAGGTTAGACCACATTAATGAGATTGTGGCTGTGGTGCTGCCATTTGGTTGATGGGGGAGGGCTGAAATCTAAGTGATCACTGTCTCTTTAAGAGGAGCCAGGTGGAATGTTTGTCCCTTTGTTCTGAGGTCACTAGGGGGACCACTCTTGGAGGAAAGGCAGTTGGAGTGGGGCTGAAGAAGAGGTGAGAAGGGCTCTGGGGCAGATGTATTCAAAGTAAATACTCAGAACTAGCTGGAAATGAAGGCATCTTGAGCCTTTAAATGTTTAGATAAGACTATTTGAAAGAAGACACGGAAGGGGAAATGATTTTTAAATATATGTGGGTAAACTGTGTCACGTTGGTGTTTAATAATTGTAAACATCAGTTTTCTAAAAACAATTTTTAGGTTTTTAATTAAAATATAACTACAGTATTAAGAATTTTAAATAATTACATTCTTGTATAATTTGCTGTTCAGCCTTTCACTTTGTGTTCATGTTTCTCTTCTCTGTGTTGGGTTTTATTGATCTGAGTCCATCTCAAAGTAGGCTCAAGGTTGGAAAGAAGCAGGTGCCTGGTCAGTGGTGTCTGAGCCTGCCCAGCTGCGCACTGCTGCGGAGCAGTCATGGCACCTGCTGCTCTGTGGGAAGATCCGTGACGAGGGCCATTGTGTGCTTTGCTTGTTAACTACTCCTAGGTGTTGTCTTGGTCACAGGGTGTGCGCTCAAATGCATTAGTTGGAAGGATTTTTTATTGATACATGGTTTTAGTTGTAATTACTTAAAAATCTATAAAATATTTTCTTATTTTCTTTTAGGAGCTTACTCCGTGGGAGCAATCTGTAGATAATCTGAATTGTTGACAATACGAATCCTGTTACTAGCCGACAGTGACTGACAACAGCGATGTTATGAGGCCTGGCTGTCTACTTGGACCAACAGATCTCATCAGCCAGGGTTTTTTGTTGTGTTTAGAATTTCAGGGGAAAGTGTCTGAGCTCTCAGTGTTGGGGCAGGTAAAGTATCAATACTGTTGTTACACAATAGCAGCAACATTTTAACTTAATAAGTTTGTATTTTTCTATTCCTATGTAAATAGAAACTTACTTGTAAAGAAACCGATATAATGTAATCTTCATGTTTATTTGAAATACACTGTACCCTTCATTTTAGAGGGGTTCCTTATCTGTGAACTCTGCATCCTGGGAGTCAGTCAACACAGATCGAAAACATGATAGGGAAATGATAAAAAACAAAAATACAAATTTTTAAAAAGCAATATGATGTAATAACTATGTACATAGCACATTATTATGTGTTGTGAGTTTAGTACTTGAAAGATAATTTGAAGTATATGGGAAGATGTGCATAGGCTGTATGCAGACACTACACTATTTTATGTAGGAGGCTTAAGCATCTATAGATTTTGGTATCAGGAGTTCCTGAAACCAGTCCCCTGAGGACACCAAGGGATATTTATATTCTAAATTTTAGCCTAAGGTTTTTAGATGAATATTTAATCATCTGTTAAGAATTTGATTCTGAGTGGTCCTTTAGTTTTGCATTGGTTATTAGTGCATAAATACTGAAATTGTATATAATCTCTTTGATGAAAAGCAAATTATATAAAGCAGAATTCTTCCTGTAGAAAGCCTTTGCCAAGATAACAGGTATTGGGGTTTTTTTCTCAGCCTAGCACGAGCTTCACCAGCTCTTGGTGCTGGAGGGACAACAGCCACATGGCCTTCCAGGCAAAGGCTGGTGCAGGCCCCTGAAACTGCATCTTTAGTAGAAACTTTTAATGTTGCATGAAAATGGACCCTCTTTTAAGATCTCTGTCAAATTTGCTGCAAATTTTTTCGTTTACCCAAGCAGAAAACTTTTCCTAAAAGTAAAATTTCTAGCATGAATGAATAGACAGTTACAATCGATGTGGTTTAGTGACTGCTCTGCCATATATGTTTCTAAAGAGCATGTCTCTGCTTTTCATGTTACTTCTCAACATTTAAAGCCCACGATCTTTTGCCTCGTGCCCAGGTGACCAAAGAAATGATGTGGTTCTAGCCTCAGCAGCTTCTGCATAGTAACCTGGGAGTGCGTGAGGTAGTTTACAGGACGTGGAGGTCACTGTCTGGCAGAATTTACAGCTGGACAGGAAAGGGGGAAGTGATAACATTTAGAGGGAAGCAAAAAAAAGAAAACAACAACAAAAGATTAGAAGTAATTTTAAATTTTGTATGTTTTATACTTTTTAGGTTTTCATTTTATGCCAGTCCTTCCCCTAGGATGGAACTTGGTGTGAAATCAGAGTCATCATTAGTATTTAAATGTCATTAAAGCCTGGACAGCTTGGAAAAGAATTCTCAAGGTATATACTGTCTTTTTCAGGTTTTGTCATTGTCAAGAATAAAAATTTCACAGATATCTTAGCACTCTGGGAGGCCGAGGCGGGCAGATCACTCAAGGTCAAGAGTTCGAAGCCTGAGCAAGAGTGAGACCCGTCTCTACTATAAATAGAAAGAAATTAGTTGGCCAACTAAACATATACATATATATATGTAAAATTAACCGGGCATGGTGGCACATGCCTAGAGTCCCAGCTACTCGGGAGGCTAAGATAGGAGGATTGCTTGAGCCCCGGAGTTTGAGGTTGCTGTGAGCTAGGCTGCCGCCACAGCACTCTAGCCCAGGCAACAGAGTGAGACTCGGTCTTAAGAAAACAATAATAATAAAAAAAATTAGTACACAGCTATTAAAATTTTCTTCAAGAACCACCTCAAATCATCTCAGACCACACCTTGGGAAACACTAGTCAAAAGGACCTACTTTATGTGCAGCTCCACTTTTTTGGGTAGGAAGTTGTTCTGTTGCATCCCTGCTTATAAATTGACATTTGGGTGGGGGGTGCTCCCTCTTGGATATTTTCGCTTGGCCGTTCGTTGGCAGTGACGTGACTGCGTTTCATCACTAGGTATGGATGATAAATGCGATCCGAGCAATGAGGAGACACCTAAGGCCATCAAGCCCACGAGCAAAGAGTTCAGGAAAACATGGGGTTTCCGAAGAACCACTATTGCAAAGCGGGAGGGCGCAGGTGATGCAGAGGCCGACCCTGCGGAGCCGCAGCAGCACGGCCTGTCCTTGCGGCGTAGCGGCCGGCAACCCAAGCGCACAGAGCGGGTGGAGGAGTTCCTCACCACGGTTCGGCGCCGAGGAAGAAGGAGCATCCCTGTGTCCCTCGAGGATTCCAGCGAGCCAACGTCTTGTCCAGTCACAGACGCCGAAACCACTTCGGAAGGGAGCGTAGAAAGCACTTCTGAGGGCAGAAGTGGTCCCAAGTCTGGCTCCACTCGTGGGAAGGAACGACCGGCCTCTTCAGAGAAGGCCAAAGGAGGTGATGACGAGGATGCCACCTCTGATAGTGACAGTGACGGGCTGACCTTGAAAGAGCTTCAGAATCGCCTTCGAAGAAAGCGAGAGCAGGAGCCCACTGAGCGGCCCTTGAAAGGCATCCAGAACCGCCTGCGGAAGAAGCAGCGGGACGAGGACCCCACAGAAACAGTGGACGTCCAGGCTGGTGGCGCTGTTGAGAGCACGCTGCCCAGCAAGCAGGAGCCTGGGGATGAGCATGGGGCTGCGGCCCAGGTCGGGAAGGGTGATGGTGAGGCAGAGGGGACAGTGGCGCAGGGAGTCAAGGAGGAAGAACCTGGGGACTCGTGCAAGCCTAAGCCTGAGTGTGAGGTGTACGACCCCAACGCTCTGTACTGCATCTGCCGCCAGCCTCACAACAACAGGTAGGTCATGGGGCCCAGTTTTCTCAGAGACCCAAGCATGAGAATAGAGTTTTCCATTTGCTTTGATTTGAAGAGTTACAAAGCTGGGCTGGATGAGTGAGTGCACTGACAAAGATGAACAAGGTGTTGTCAATAAAGAAATGCAAGGAGTGGGTAATGACTGCCTGGAGCTTCCTGGGGCACCACTTTGGTAGCTTGCCAGCCACACATGGCTGATGGCAGGCAGCGTGGCAGTGTGAGATACGACGGAAAGCCACATGTGGCCAGTGGCTCTTGTGTAGACAGCACAGGAGAGAGCCTCTGTCGTCTCAGGGACTTGTGTCAGACAGCACTGCTCTAGACTGTTCTGGGAGGCCTAGCAGAAGGTGGTGTGCACACCGCGATTGGACCCTACTGCAGACGTCTGAGCAACACAGAGCCTTTGCTGGGGTTGGGTGCTAGTGGCACAGCGGAGCCTCTGCTGGGGCTGGTGGTGGAGCAGAGGTGTTGTTGCTGGAGTTGTTGTTGCTGTTTTCTGGAGACATGCACTAAAGTGGGTGGAATGCCTTAAAGCCTGTAGTCCATCTTAAAAGGCTCTAGTCAAAAGAAGGATGAAAGCCGGGCGCGGTGGCTCACGCCTGTAATCCTAGCACTCTGGGAGGCTGAGGCGGGCGGATTGCTCGAGGTGAGGAGTTCGAAACCAGCCTGAGCAAGAGCGAGACCCCGTCTCTACTATAAATAGAAAGAAATTAATTGGCCAACTAATATATATATAAAATTAGCCGGGCATGGTGGCGCATGCCTGTAGTCCCAGCTACTCGGGAGGCTGAGGCAGCAGGATTGCTTGAGCCCAGGAGTTTGAGGTTGCTGTGAGCTAGGCTGACGCCATGGCACTCACTCTAGCCTGGGCAACAAGCGAGACTCTGTCTCAAAAAAAAAAGAAGGATGAAGCAAACTTGGTTTAATGTTAATACAAGAGCATATGGGTGTTCTTCATTCTTGTTTAATTTTTCTGTATATATGCATTTTCTCAGAATGTCAAAACCAACTTGACTTAATATCGACAGATACATGTTTAGCAGTCCTCATCCGTGACACCACTCCTTTCTCATTTCAGGTTTATGATTTGCTGTGACCGGTGTGAGGAATGGTTTCATGGCGACTGTGTGGGTATTTCCGAGGCACGTGGAAGGCTATTGGAAAGGAATGGGGAGGATTATATCTGCCCCAACTGCACCATCTTGCAAGTGCAAGATGAGACTAACTCAGAAATCACAGATCAGCCAGAGACTAAGTTCAGGCCCGGAGACACCGACGGCACCGACTTCACCAGCATAGGGACGGTGGAGCAGAAGTCCAGTGAGGACCAGGGCATAAAGGGCAGGATCGAGAAGGCTGCGCATCCAAGCGGCAAGAAGAAGCTCAAGATCTTCCAGCCTGTGAGTGCTCATTGCGGGCCAGCGTTGAGGGTGCCCTTGCGGATGGCAGACTTGCCGTGGGTAGGCAGTGCTTCCGGGGACAATGCCGTGTCCCCCGGGGGCTGTACTCAGCTCCGTCTCCTGCCTCACCCTGTTTGCCTCCTGTGTTATTACCAACTTAGTTTTTGTAAATTAGCTGTCAGTATTCTTGCTGTCCTTGCGTGCTTTATGTACATTACCAGATTGTCTTTGGGCTGTTGTAGTAACTACACCCCCTATACCCTCTTCCAACAGGTGAGAAGCCCAGAGGGCTGGTCCCTGGGGTGCTGGTGCACAGCGCATTGTTTCTCTACCTTGCGGCCCTGTCACTGCTTCTCCTCCCACTTGGCCCTGTGCTGCTCCAGGCTGAGATTCTCCATCGTGTCACCTTAGCTTCTGTTAGGAGAGCATCTCGGGCTCCCAGAGTTCCCATCCCGCCTCTGCAGGGATGCTGAGCCTGTTTTCACTCTGGACCTTCCTGGGTCCTTGGGCCATGCATATCCTGGCCACCCCGTCCTGGCAGTTGTCAGGTGTAGAGGCTTTGGGATTGCTGTGTCTAGAAGCATCTCTGCCTTGCATTCTTGCACTGTGTCAGCCTCAAGGTGGAAGTGTGAGGACTCAGCCATTTAAATGAACATGCTCTGGAAGTATTAGGAGGGACCAAGTGGAAATGCAGTGTTAACTGTTGAGGTCATACTCATATTTAATCATTAGGAAATGAAGGGATATGTAAATTAATGGGGAAAGTCATCAGTTTTTTATGTCTTTATTGTCCATGTGTGTGACATAATCCTAAATTTTATTCTAAGTAAAACTTACATTCTGTGGAAGAAAAACAATTATGTTAAATATTTAATCTGAGAATAAGTTTTGCTCAAGTACATTTGAGGGACGTGTATGTGTGTGTATTTAGTAGCTACCCCCGAAACATACTTGAGTAGTTGTGAACAGAAGCAACCAAGTGTACTTCTTGTAGCGTGTCATCTCCTATTGCTGCAAAACAAATTACCACAAACTCAGCTTAAAACAGTGGCGTTTATGATCTCAGTTTCCAGAAGCCTGGGCACGGCGTAGGTGGCCTCTGCCCAGCGCCTTGCACAGCTGTAGTCAGGCATGGCTGGGGCTGGGCCTCCTCAGAGGCTCGGCGAGGAGGAGACTCTCTGCCAGAAGCCCTCAAGTGGCTCCATCCATAAGCCCCATGCAATTTTTGTGGCATGCTTATACTAAAAAATGATTTGTTGTTTATGTGAAACTGAAATTTAACTGGGTGTTCCTGTATTTTATTTGGCAGTCTTACCCCAGGTTCTAGCCATAGGTCCTCTCCATACAGGGGAGCTTCAAAACCTGCCCTGGAGTCTTCTCTCGTCAGGAAAGGGCAGCCCCTCTTCTGAGAGTTTCCAGCTGGTTCAGACCCTTTTGACTCAGAATCAGCCCATTTGGGGCCTTACTTACACCTGCAAAGTCCCTGCACGTCTGCCCTGTAGCAGAACGTAGTTGTGGCTGTGAAATCACTCTCTGGTCAAAGAGCACAGGGCCTGGAGTCCTTGGGGTCATCTTGGGGTTCTGCACACACAGGAACCGTAAAATGGGAGGGGCCTGCACAGAGATGTAGATTTGTGGAGCTTGGGCAAATGAAGCTAAGTTTTTCTTATTATTCAAAAGTGGCCTTGGTACTATAAATAGTGATTTTACAAAATACTGTTAATTGTCAAAACCGGCCAGTATATCGTTTGAATTCGCCTCTTTTGTTCTGCAGGTTGTAGAGGCTCCTGGTGCCTCAAAGTGCATTGGCCCTGGGTGCTCCAGCTTGGCACAACCTGACTCTGTTTACTGCAGTAATGATTGCATTCTTAAACATGCTGCAGCAACCATGAAATTTCTAAGTTCAGGTAAAGAACAAAAACCAAAACCTAAAGAAAAGATCAAGATAAAGCCAGAAAAGCTCAATCTGCCAAAATGTAGTGTTCAGGTAAGTTGGCCAAGTCCAGCTGTTTTTATTTATTTGCAGACTGTGGGGACGGCATGTTCAGATGTAACGCAGAGAGTATCACCTTTGCTTTTGCCTTTCAATTCTCCCCCAGTTTTCTTTTTCCCCTCACTCTGTCAGCTGAGGGATTAGTTAACATAACTGAACAGAGCTGTGCAGGCAGCTGGCTGCTGTGTGGAGGGCACAGTCTTTTTGAGAGACTGGTGACCACCAGAGGGATTTGTGTGGAAAGTGGCTCTTGGGGCAGTTGAGGGGTGTGTCCTGGGTGAGGCTGTGTGCTTCATTGAAGACCCAGCTATCAAAGTTGGCTGGTTTCTACACTCCGTGTGATTTTGCAAGAGTCTGAGGGTATTGAGAGATCACACACTCTTGTCTTAGGCCCTTCCTTGGGCTCTATGTGGCTGTGTCAACGGGAGGAGGGGTTCTTGATTATTTTCACACACTTATTTAGCTTTTAGATGACTTAATTTTTAAGGCTAATAATCTTGAATCATAAAACTTCCAAAGAAGCAGTTGTTGCTGGGAGTACCCTAGACCTTGCTGCCATCCCAGAATCACCAGGGTTTCAATTGAGAATACAGGACCATTTGTGCTCCCATCTTCCTTCCACGTCACTGCGCCCTGTGTTGGGCACAGCCTCACACACAGGCCTGTCCCCTTTGCCTTGCCTGGTCTCATTGTCTCACTCACGTGGCTCATTCTTTTGTCATTTTGGCAGCCTCATACTCAGCCTGGTTACCGATGATTCTGTGTCAGGGACCTTAACACCACTCAAATACTTGAAATCCCAACTATTACGTGGGAATGCTGGGGGTCCACGGGTGTGCAGGTGTAGCCAGACTGCTGCTGAGCAGGCACAGTAGCAGGCTCAGGATGGGCGAGATGTCAAAGTGACCTTCATTGGGCAGTGAGAGGAGGTGGTAAAGGTATGATTTCTGACTTTCTGAATGATTGGGATTTTACTGATTATCCAGGCAGGCATTAAAATCCCTTCCATGCACAAGAGACCAGCTCCAGAAAAGAAAGAAATCATAGTGAAGAAGGTGATGGTGGCCCTGTGCAGAAACGAAGCCCTGGGGAAGGAAGCGACCTGTGAGAGCAGCACGCCATCGTGGGCGAGCGATCACAATTACAATGCAGTGAAGCCAGAAAAGACTGCTGCTCCCTCGGCATCACTGTTGTGTAAAAGTACGTATCACCCAGGGAGTGGCCTCCTGCCCCCCTCCCACTCTCTCTGGATAGCCCTCCCCCAGGCCTCCGAGGCCTGGGAGTCCCAGCTGTGCTCTGGCGCTGGTTGTGAGCACCAGCTGCACCGTCCAAGCTGGAAGCAAAGCCCGTGTCCACGATGCCTCCTGACCCCTGCTTCTGTCCTTGCTCTGTTGGGACTTTGTTTTCAAAGAGCTGTACAAACCTCCTTGGCAAGTGTTCCACCTTCACAATTGAGTTCTTTAACCTCTGTTTTCATTATCAGGCCCTGGTAAGTGTGTGTATCACCTTCAAGTCTGATTGGGTGGATACACTGCCCAGCATTCAGAATTCATCACCGTCCAAACACCAGTCAGTTTTATTACCCTGTGTAAACTTCAGGAGTTTTTCCACATTATCAACTTTCAGCACATAAAATCATCACTTCTTTTGTATGCTGTGGGAATCTCTCTGCAAATCAGTATTGCGTCTGACACTTGATTGAGGTATGATTTTCAGGAGTTACATGTATTTTTCACTGGACGCAGGAATGTTTTCATGTCCAGTTCACATGCTGCACACCCACATAAACACACACTGGAATTTTGAAAGCCATTTACTGCTGCTTAACAGATCCCATGGTGAGTGTGATGTGCTTTCACACTGGAGCAGTATCCTCACCAAAGGTAAAGTGTCTTGGGCTCTTGGTATCTGAATCTCTTGAATATTTAGACTGTTAAAGGTCACATACCCTGCCCCAAATTTCAAATTAATGAAATGAAGATATTCCAGATAGATCTTTGAAACCCCAGATGAGATCCTGCACCTTGAATCTACTTACTCTTGTTTCTTGGCCTAATGTTGCAAAGATAAGTTTTAGGGATTTAAATTAGGGCCATAGGACACATCATACTCTACTACTTGCAGTTCCAGGGTTTTTTGTTTGTTTGCTTTGAGAGAGTCTCACTCTGTTGCCCTGGCTAGAGTGTTGTGGCATCAGCCTAGCTGACAGCCACCTCAGACTCTCCTGAGCTCAAGCTATCCTTCTGCCTCAGCCACTAAAGTAGGTGGGACTTTAGGCATGCGCCACCATGCCTGGCTAATTTTTTCTAGTTTTGGTAGAGACAGGGTCTTGCTCTTGCTCAGGCTGGTCTGGAACTCCTGAGCTCAAACGATCCACCAGCCTCTGCTTCCCAGAGTGCTAGGATTACAGGCGTGAGCCACCGCGCCCGGCCAGCAGTTCTGTTTTTATGTGTGCTATTTATAGTGCATTTTGTGCTTTTATAAAAAGCACCGAAAGGTTGAGTAGCCCTGAATTCCAGGACTATAGAAGTGTGCCGCACTTTCCTTTCAGTGGGCCTCTAAACAGATCACCTAAGGATATGCTCGTTGCAGGTAGGTGCTAGAGCTGGTGTGGCTAAAAAAAAATACATAACTTCGTTTTGATAATGTTAATAGACAACTAAAAAATGGAATCACAAGTAAATTGAACTTACGAATTGCTCCATTATTATGAGTCCCAATATACTTTAGGTTGTTTGAGCTAATAAGACTTTTATGCTAACAAATACTATGTCTCAAATGTTCATGAAATTACAGCACCTCTACAAAACAGCACTTTTACAGAGCTAATGTACTTAAAAATAGGCAGCCCCTATCTGTGAATGGGTAGGGAGTGCCCTGATGCTGTTCTATAAGTGCCTTAAGTTGGTAGTAGGCACACAACAGGGAAAGAAAAACTAGGATATGACCAGAGTGCAGATACCTGGGCGATAATTTCGGATCAATTAATTTCTCTTTGTTTCGACCAGAATTGGAAAGCTGTCCCTGAGACTCCACATTTGTGGAGTTTGGGGAGACTCCGTGCATTGGGGCCCATGGGGGAGACGATGGGCTCTGATCCCCGAATTATGACCTCCCGCCCCACTCTTGCTGGGTGCGGACTCAGGACAACAGGAGGCTGGCTGCGTCTTTGGGGTTTGCTTTGACCTTTCTCACGTCCTCCCTTCTTACGACACATCAGCTCCTTAAGGAAGCTGGTACGCTTCAGGGGTAGGAATTGGGGGCAAATTAATGACTAATTAGCCTTTCCAGCACATCTCATCTCAACATTAAAATTGATGGTTATTCTGAATTTATACACAACATAAGAAGGGGACACATTTTTGTAGTCGCCTCTGATCCTTTTCTGTTATCCCAGAAAGGTCATCTTTGTTCAAGGTGGCTGGGAGGAGGGCAGGGACATTGGTGAGCGCAGCTACCTGGTCTCTCCCTCTCTCCCCAGAACATCTCTGCACCTTCCCAGGGCAAAGTGGGGGCACCACACACACAGCTCCCCAGAATCTACATCCCAGGACCCTTGTCCCAACCCCCCGGCTGGCTGTGGAGCAGCTTCTGGCAGGGTGGGATTTAGAGCGAGGCTGGTGCCGGGTCTGTCTCCAGTGGGTTTTCTTGCGAGGTGACCCGCGCTGCACCCACGAGCTGTGGTGAGAAGACTGCGTGGCAGCTGCACTGCTGCCCTCCCCGGATCCCGTCCGGCAGGCAGGCCTCGCACAGACCTCCTCTGCTGCTGTGAGGAGGGCGCCACCCCGTAGTGTCGTAGATCCTTCCTTCACGTCCGCACGTTCCTCTAATTTGTTTTTAGAAATTGTGTTTTAGGATTTCTGTACACTTTGTGTGGCTTACGGAAACAGTTGGCATTTTATTTCTCCCCAAGGTCATGATGTTTCTTTTTGTGTTTTTATATCCTTTTCCATATTTTTCTTTTTATTTCCAGTTAGTGCACGTCCTGTTATTGTCAAGGTATCAAGTGGGCTCAAAATTTTTTTTCGAAAATGTTTGGTTTATTAGAATGTTGAAATGGAATTCTGGCGTTTATAGGCACAATTCCTAGTATTTTGTACTCCCTAAATGGCTCATTAAGTGACTTAAAACACTGGGCATCTGAACAGATTTTGACCAGAAAACAGATTTCTACAGTTCATTTCATCTAGATGTGGGAATTAAAGTGGAAAACCTTACCAACCTGTAAACCCCAATCCAGATGACTTGTCATGCCTTGCCCAGGTAGAAGCCCTTCCCCTCGCTCATGTGCCTGCCACAGAGGTGGTGAAATGGATGGAGGACACAGATTTTCACCAGGATAACTCATGGCCTGGGCTCCAGCAGCACTTTCACTGAAACCCTGAGAGGAGCAGTTTCCTGTAATGAATGTGTGGGGGTCTAGAGCCCAACTCGGGCTAGTAGGAGGGTGTGCATCTCACCGGTTCCATCACCATCTTACCTGTCTCATCCAGAGCTGCCGGTGGCAATAAACACAGTTGGGAGTAACCAGACTTCGTACATCCAAACCAGTCTCCTCCCAGTTAGAATATCAAAATTTGTACTAAGAAAGGATTTAGCTTGACAGCTGTTTTTTAATGTTACTCATATATCTGGAATTTTCTTTGTTGTCAGTAATAACATTCTTTGATATTTAAAGTGTTTTACTCTCTATAAACTTTAAAAAGGAGGCTGCTGTTCATAAAATTAAATCGTGGAAAAGTTTTGCATCCATCTCTGTCAAGTTGAACCTGCAGGTGGAGTCCCCTCGGCACTGTCCTGTGGCATCCTCCAGTCTGCTCCTCAGCTGTCCCCTCTTGGGCTTCAGCCACCTTGGGGAGGGGGGTGAGGGGGTAGAAGTTTCCAGCAGGATTGGTCCCACTAAAGTCACCACCTCTTCAGTGACCTTCGTATAACCCTTGGAGCTGTGGATCTGCTCTAATACTCTTTAAAGATTAGTACTCTAGGAAAGTTCCTTTGGTGGCATTATCTTATAGCGTGCGAAGGTCACCTCTGAAGATAAGCTGCTACGAGTCCTCCGGTACACGAGTTTCAGGCATATTTTGTACGAAGCTGTAAAATACTTAACATTTTTGTTTTGTTTTTTTTTCTTTCTGTTACACATCAACATGCACATAGTTATAGTCTTAGCTTCTAAAAATTAGAGAAGTAAACTTAGAAGATTGATGAGAATTTTTGCTACTCTCATTTATATAAATGAAGGTTGGGGCAACTTTCATTTGCTGAGAACCTGGAGGAGTCCGACAGCAAGAACATAAGGTAACTGGCTGCGCACGGCTGCACTGTGCTCTGCACGGTGCTCTCGGCTTTGGGGTGACCTACTGAGTATGACCCTTTGGGAGGGGGGCACCATTCAGGAGGGCACGTGGGCTGTTCTGACATGCCCCTGCCGAGCTGGGTCAGGTGGTGAGCATTGTAGGCACAGACGATGTTGCTTGAAACATAACCTTATTCAAGTATTCAGGGTGCTGTCAGTGGTTTCAGAGACCCCCAAGGAGCAGCAGCTCAACTCCCAAATGAGTCCTGGGTTCCGGCAGCCGGGTGCACACAGCACAGCTGGGATTGCATTTGAGAGGGACACCTGTCTATGATGTGGTCCTCGTCACATTTCATTCTAATGATTGAAGCATAATTTGTATTACCAACCCAACATGAATCAGGTTTTAACTTAGTTTTCAAAGTACCATATGTGGGACTATCAAAGCAAGGAAGAATAATTTCCTCCAGGTATACAGTTGCTTTTTTGCAAGTTTCTTGAGAGTTCTACACCTCCATAGAGGTGAAATTAACTCAGATATTGGACATAAGAAAAAAAAGTTAACTTAGGGAAGCTTTGCTTGTCCCAAACAGTATGGTTTGGTTGTGGACCACTACAAAAAACGTTCTAGTCGTAATGACCATCCACTCTGAGGAGCATCTGTGCTCTAAAAGGATGAGTCATTGGGAAATAATGAAGCATGTTGAGAGGAGCAAAAGCAGAGCATTTTCCCTGAAAACCACTGTCACGTTGGTCCTTAATACTGGGGAAAATCTTAGTGAAGAAACAGTTGAACTGGGAATCTAGAGAAAAGTAGAACTGATGTCACTGTGCACAGTTTACTTCCACAGTCCCCCATCATGTCCCTTCGGGGAGGGTCCTAGTTTCCGGGTTAGTGGCATAGAAGGGGTTCCTAGGGGCCCTGCAGCTGCATCTGACCTGGATTCGGGCACAGTTGGGAGTGGGTCGAGGCCAGGGTGCTCGTTCCCTGAACAGCCAGCAATGCCCAGAAAGAGGGTCAGAAGATGAGTGCAACAGTCCATGGTCTTCAGCAGTCCCTTTGCTGTGAGGGACCGTCCAGCAAGGGCAGTCACTAGACGTGGGGTGAGGTGGAGCTGTGCAGACATGGTCTCTTGTCCCATATTTTAATTCCTGTCCAGCAGCTCCATTTGGGCAGTTGCACGGGTTATCTGCACAGGAACTAATGCATCAGCGCCCTTCCTCTGGGAGGCCTGGATTCCTGCCGATCCCTTGAGACGCGCTAGTGCCACCCAGTGGCCACCATGTTGTAATGCCACAGCCAGCCTTCCTGCATGTCAAGACGCCCAGTGTCTGCTTTGGGGAAATTAGCCTGTTAGTACTGCTGATCCCTGTCACGACTGGAACCCAGACAGCTTCCATTACAGACAAGTGGTCCAAGCCACTGGGCAGCTTTCCCTCCTATAGCCACTCAGGCAGGCGGCTCCCTGAGGGCAGGGGAGACCCCTGTGCTGGGCAGAGGCACCTCTGCCCTAGGTGGACAACTGACTTGGTGCAGCTGGGGCAGTACCACGTGAGGCAGCCTCTTACCCTAGTGGTGCTGCTGATGTTTTTCTACAGTAGGGTTTTTTCCTGGTTGGTTACAGAGTTTTCCCATGCCCTTCTGTAAGTTCATGCACAACATAATACAGTTAAAAGTGAACTTGGTTGAAGAAGATGCAAATTCAGTCTTAGCACTACTCAAAAAAATGTGCTCATTGTCACTGCTATTTCAGCAGCAGACAACCTGAGTTTGACAACAGCACCCCTGGGACAATGCCTAGATAGGACTTGGGTGGTTTCAGAATAGAAGGCCTAGTTTGTGTTGTCAGACAACAGGTGAGCTGGAGACAAGGCTGTTGGGGGTCCAACAGTTTCAGGACATTTTACCTGTGATTTATTTACCTAATTATACCTATTTATATACTCTGGGTTTTTAAGTTTTTTTTTTAGAGACAGGGTCTTTCTCTGTCAGCCAGGCTGGAGTGCAATGGTACTGACATAGCTCACTCTAGCCTCAAACTCCGGGTTCAAGCAATCCTCCCACTTCAGCCTCCCATGTAGCTGGGACTACAGGATAAGTCACCATGCCTCCCCAGGTAGTTTTTCTGGTTTTTGTAGAGACAAGGTCTCTTGGTCAGGCTAGTCTCAATCTCCTGGGTTTAAGTGATCCTCCTGCCTCAGCCTCCCAAAGTTATTTATATACACTTTGAAGCACAGGTGAGGAATAACAGAGGTTGACTTTTAAAAGGCAGAAACAGTTTTCCAAAATAGCAATTTAATAGTTAAAGAAAGCCATCCTCTGCTTTTTTAAATAGGTCACTTGATTGCTATTGCCACTCTTTTTGGTAATAGGTGATATTAGTCAAATGTATTAGGAATGCCCTAAAAATCTCTTGACTTGGGTTTTGCCTGAACGAGGGAAAATTGCATCAATAGAAGTGTTGATCCTAAACACAGACATCTCGTTCTAATGCTTTTGATTTGGAGAAGTGTCAGTAACATCCTTGAAGTTAACACATACTTGTAACCTGAAACAAGGTAAGAGTTAGATGTCACTGAAAATCTACTTCAGGTCATTCACACAGTTGTCCTGTGTGCTACATTCAAGGCATTTTATTGAGGTTTCTGGAAACAACCTCAAGCCAGCTCTTTAGAGTTATTTAAACACGCAGTATTACAATACTCTCAGCAAAGTTTGTAGTTGCAGTGACTAAACTGGTTTTAGGTTTCAGTTTCCATGACGGGTTCGTTCTTTTTATGACCGCCAGATGTTGGTTTCCTGGCAGGTGATTAAAGTGACACACCTCTGTAGACCAGTGGTTGTTTCGTTATGTCCCTGCCCGATGTCAAAATCATTTTGACCTTGTCCTCTGGCACTTTTTTCTTGCTATACTCTAAAATTGGTTCCTTCCCTGCCCCTCCCCTCTCACATCCTCCACTGAGAAAAGTGGCCTCTGCCGATTTATTTAACCTAAACTCTAGCAGTCCTGCAGACATTCTTAGCTAAGTATGAGTTGTCAAATAAAATAGGTATATGGGCTTGATGGGATGAAATGACACAAGTAGAATAGGAAAGGCAGAGTTTCCTCAACAGCAAAACTGGTCTCTGCCTTTGCCCCTTGTGTGTCCCCATTTCCTTTTTTCTCACACACTGCCACTGCTTTATGGCATACTTTATTTTACAAACCAGCTCCCAAAGGCAGGGGGAAGCACTTTGAGGTGCAGCTGTGGGGCCTGGGAATACCAGCACAGACAGACTACCTTTGACAGATGGTGGGAAGGGTTCTATGGGAAGGAATAGGGATTTGCCTTTTTAGTGATTACCATTAAAATGATTGTTAGAGAACATATGGAAACTCTTCAAAGTTAGAATTGATAACCTGTTAACACTAACATGTCATCCAGAGCTTTGGATCCATGTAGTGCTATTGTAAATTTTGCAAGATTAAGGAATTTTATTTATCCTGCAAAGTGGGGAAAACTTACAGCCCCCAGGCTTTTAGGGACTTTGCTACAGGAGAGGGCTGCAGCCCTCCGCCAGCGTGGTGAGGCGATTCAGGCCTCCTCTCAGCTTGTCCCTGAACCTTCACACCTCCCTCACCTATTGGAAGCAGATAACAGGAATAATGGTAGAGGAGCACTGTTGATTCATTTTTAATCCCTGGACGAAATGGGGTGGATTGCTGGAGCAGCTGTTGTGGTCCCCCATGTAGACATTTGGAAGTTTCAGAGGCTTGCTGCTACATGCAAGAGGAGCTATCTTCTTGGTTGGTAGGTAGCCCATAGGCCTGGGACCCACCTGGTCCCAGGCTTTTCACTCCTTTGACCCACTACCTGGTTTCCTGCCACATTCTTCAGTGGCCAAGACAAACGCTGTCCACAAGTACTCTCTTCTCTCACCAAGGGACTACAGTGCTAATCTTTGAATTCTGGCAGTCTAACGGAGGATTATAGTATAATCAGTTATTTGCTGGCATATAGAGAAAGCTTTTTGTGCGAGTTGACTTTTGACTCTGAGCTTTTTACTATAATCCTTGTTTGGATTAAAAGCACTAATTTATTATCTCTCCATGTTACTGAGTTACAACTTATGGGTTGTGAATAGGAACCATCTATGTAGCAGCATCACTGTATTCTCAGCATCCAGCTCTCAATATGAAAACACGATTAATCTTACCTGTGTTGAAAATTTCCATCAGCTTTCCATGTTTTTATTAGTGTGGTGTCCCCAGCCAACCTGCCCAGAAGGACACGGTGTGTCACACAGATAGCCAGCACAGTGCTGGCCTCCAGGAGCCCCTCAAGGGTTTGTGTGTGTGTGAAGAGAACCTGTCTGTTACTTTCCTGAGAAGATTTGGAGGCTCAAGTTTATTTTAAAAATTATGTTTGAATTCTTAATAATGAAAGTGCTGTTCTAAATTTACCTTTTATTGAAAATGTGAAATTTGTCCTTCAGTTTTAAAGCTTAGCTGGTGATTAAATCAAGCCTTTGATAACTCGAGTTTGTTAGTTATAGTGAAAGGTTTAATAGTATAATAAAGCATTTTTCTTTCTGAAATAAAGTACAGTCACTATCATAAATGCTGCTGACAGCCTTAATTAGACTCCTGCATTTTAAGATTTTGAAAATTCTTTTCTCCAAATGTATCTTACTCGATAGTGCCTCAGTGCGTGTGTACAAGTTTAAGGGTGAACTTTCAAAGTCAGGTGCAGCAAACACATTGCCCTCCCCTCACTCAGTGTGCCTGCCTTCTCCTTTGTAGCCATCAAGGAAGACAGGAGACCTGAGGAGAAAGCAGCGGTGGCGGCAGCAACCTCAAAGAAAACAGCCCCTCCTGGCTCCGCAGCTGGCAAACAACCTCCACCTAGAAGTCTCGTTCCAAAGAAGTCTCCTTTCGCTAACTTGGCAGCAGCCAAACCAGCCATTAAAAAGTCACCCTCAGGCTTTAAGGGAACCATTCCCAAGAGGCCGTGGGCCACTCAGCCAGGCGGAACTTCAGCCACCAAGCAGGCCGGACTAACACCTGCTTCCATGACAGCTGCTTCCAAAAAGTTACCTGGCTCTGCTGCTTTGGTCGGGCCCATGAGGAAGCCAGTGGCAACCTCTGTTCCCATGGCATCTCTAGTCCCAGTACGCCTCGGGACCACAAGTCCTGCCTCGTCACAGCCAAACTCACAAATTCGGCAAAATATAAGACGCTCCTTGAAGGAGATTTTATGGAAAAGGTGGGCCATTCTTCTTGGTTTCTTCTCAGTTATAGTGGAAGATATTCCATTTATATAGTGTGAGCATTTCAACATTGCCCCAGTGTTTGAAAAATGTAATTCCTTTTTTATTCTGTTCAGAGTCAATGACAGCGATGACTTAATCATGACAGAAAACGAAGTAGGAAAAATAGCCCTCCATATTGAAAAGGAGATGTTTAACTTGTTTCAAGTTACAGATAATCGCTATAAGAGTAAATACCGCAGCATCATGTTCAACCTCAAGGACCCTAAAAATCAGGTGTGTTGCATGATCAGTATACGTTGGCCTATTCTGACACAAGTGACCTTGCTATGCCGTTTCTGTGAGCTGAATTTCACGGTAATAAACCAAACCACATTTTGAAACATGTCCTTTCTTTGAAAGCTAAGAAGTACCTTTATGCTCTGCTGCTTCTATGGGCCCCAGGTCACTGGTGTTGAGAGTATTTGTGGGCCTGTCCCCACCTTGACCAGGGCCCTGGCAGCGGTCTCACCGGCTCCCTGTGATGTCCATTTTTTATGTCATCAGGTGTGAGGCTAAACATTGCTTTAAAACGACAAGCCCATCATTTAACTGGTTCCAAAACAAAGTTCAAATTCTTTATCCCAGTATATGGGCATGTCCATATTCTGGCTTCAAACCTTTTCTGCCTTATTTTCTTGACATTCCTTGTCAGCTGAGCAAGCCTGACAGCCAGGGCTTCTCAGAGCAGCGGTGAGGAAGACCCTGCAGGCGTGGCCATTTGCACAGGTGCTGCTTGTGCCAGGGTGGCAGCTCAGCCTCCCAAGTGGCTGCAGGGTGGGTGGTGCTGCTGCCACACGTTCGAGACAGGAATCGGCTCGGAAGGGGCCTGCCTGGCAGGGCCTCTCCTGCCACCAACCCATTGTCTTCTGGTGTCTCTGTTGGCCTCCTAACTCTCACCTGTTTTAGATTGGGAATTCACATGCTCTGCATCTCACCGTGCTTAACAACCCACTAACAGAAGTGCTTTCTTCCTGCCTTCATTCCAAATACTACCTTTGTGTCTCATGTACACGATTCTGTTTTTCCTGAAGAGACGTGAAGGCTATTGGCAGAATCGGTGCAGCACAGGCCTGGAAATCAGCCGTTTGATCTTAGTGCTGACATTTCCTGGGCCCTCGCTTGCTCCCATCTGGGGTGGCCTGGCACAGAACCCCACAGGCCGTGTGGGAGCTGGACGAGGTCACGTCCTTGGCACATGCTGCATGCAGTTGAGTGCTGGGGTCATTGTCATGTGGCCATTTACCCTCTGGGCAAGACTTTAGTGCTGCTCTGTTTTTTCTGTATTCTCTCAAATTAACAGATACTCAAGTGGTTTTTGAACAAGTGAATGAAAGATGTTTGTTTCTAGGGACTCTTCCATCGTGTTCTTCGTGAAGAAATCTCTTTGGCAAAACTTGTGAGAATGAAGCCAGAAGAACTTGTATCTAAAGAGCTTTCCACGTGGAAGGAGAGACCAGCGAAATCTGTGAGTACTGATGGAAAGTGCCTGCTTGGGCACTGAAGACTTGATTTCCCAGAAGTAAACTCGTAGACTGCATGAGTGATGTGTTCCGCCTAGAAAAGAAGGTTTAAAGCTTCCTGTTGTTTTTTTCCTTTCAGGTGTTAGAGTCCAGAACGAAACTGCACAGTGAAAACAAGAAGACGGCCGCCAGGCAGGAGCCCATTCCTGACATGGAGGACTCTCCGCCAGTGTCGGACTCGGATGTGAGCATTGGGCAGTTTCAGTGTTAACCAAGAATACACCGAAATTAGTCCGTTCCAAATATTTTTATGTGTCTCAAATTACTGGGAAGACACTGAGCCTCTTACAAGTATATATAGTTGTATTATTTCTCAAGTACTTGTATTCAGTGATTTATTTATTTTTTAATAAAGAGACAGGGTCTCGCTCTGTCACCTGGGCTGGAGTGCAGTGGTGTCATGAGAATTGACCGCAGCCTTGAACTCCTGGGCTCAAGCGACCTCCTGCCTCAGCCTCATGAGTACCTGGGACTACAGGTGCTACCACTGTGTCTGGCTTAATGGTCCCTTTCTTCCCAGTGTTTCTTAATGACATGGGACTTCTTTTTTTATGTGTGCTATTAATTTGGAGATAGATTTGGAAAGAAATAACGTACGCCTTTTTTTTTTTTTTTTTTTTTTTTTAATCTTTTAGGAACAGCAGGAATCAGTGCGAGCTATCCCTGAGAAAAGCACTGCACCTCTCCTCGACGTCTTCAGCAGTATGTTGAAAGATACAACCAGCCAGCACCGGGCACATCTTTTTGATCTAAACTGTAAAATTTGTACAGGTGAGCACAGTTTGGGAGATGAAACTTTGAGATGAGACTAAACTTGGTTTTGTTTAAAATCACTAATCCTGCTAAAGCAATTGTACTTGACTCATGTTTGAACAGAAAAAAAGGTTGGAATGATTTCCTGGAGTCCATAAAGTTACCCCTCCCTTCATAGTGTTGCTTCCGGTAAGAGATTGCCTGCTGCGTGCTCTTGCACGTGTCAGATTTCTCAGGGCGTCTCCCCTTGTGTTCTTCAGGTCAGGTCCCATCATCAGAAGATGAACCAGCACCAAAGAAACAAAAGCTGTCAGCTTCAACTAAAAAAGAGGACTCAAAGCCCAAGTATGACAGCCCCCCAGCCGATGCCGTGCCCCCCTCGGCTGACGAGGCGATGCCAGAGGCTTTGCCAGAAGATGCTTCCGAGCCAGACCTGGAAAGTGCTTCTTACCCAAATGTGGGGCGGCAGTATTTCCCCGGGCCTCCGGGAGATAGCCATCCCGAGCCCTCCCTGCTGGAGGGCATCTCCCCCTGCCCAGCCTCCTGTGGGGGCGGGGTGGTCACCACTGTCACGGTGTCTGGCCGGGACCCCAGGACTGCTCTAGGCAGCTCATGCGCAGGCCCAGCCTCTGCAGCAGCCCGTGCCGATGGGGCCCACTCAGCAGAAACCAGAGCAGATGTGCCGAAGCCTGCCATGACTTCTGTGGTGGTGCCCAAGTCCATACTGGCCAAGCCTTCCTCGTCCCCGGACCCAAGGCACCTCTCAGTTCCACCGTCACCAAGCCTCAGGTGTGTACTGAGTTGTGTCTAAGAGAGCAGAACATTTTATCTTTTAGATTACAAAAGAAAAAGGTTGGGAAGCCGAGGTGGGCGGATTGCTCGAGGTCAGGAGTTCAAAACCAGCCTGAGCAAGAGCAGACCCCGTCTCTACTATAAATTGAAAGAAATTAATTGGCATATATATATGTATATATATGTATATATAAATAAAATTAGCCGGGCATGGTGGTGCATGCCTGTAGTCCCAGCTACTCGGGAGGCTGAGGCAGAAGGATTCCTTGAGTCCAAGAGTTTGAGGTGGCTGTGAGCTAGGCAGACGCCAGGGCACTCACTGTAGCCTGGGCAGCAAAGCGAGACTCTGTCTCAAAAAAAAAAAGAAAATAAAAAGATAATTGGTGATTACATAGTTCAACTCCGAAATTTACCCAGAAATGTAACTTTTTCGTATTTTAAAAAGGCCCAGCTTAGGATACTTCACTATTGTTTTAGAGGTTTAGATCTTGAAAGCTGAAATGTGAATTTATGGCCATCCAGTTTTTTTCGTTAACCAAAATGTCTATATTCTTAAGATTAAAGTAGTTAATTGGCAAAAATAAGCTATGAAAACTTATAAGAATTCTCTTTTGCTTTTAAATATAAAGTCTTCATACTTTGAAATCCTCATTGTAGGAAGAGAAGGAGATTTACGTGCTTTTTCTTACGGTTTTGTTTTGCAGCATCTCAGAGTCACGCTCCCCTCCAGAAGGAGACACGACCCTCTTTTTGTCTCGACTCAGCACCATTTGGAAAGGATTCATTAACATGCAGAGTGTAGCGAAATTTGTCACTAAGGCGTATCCTGTCTCTGGGTGTTTTGATTATCTCAGTGAGGTTAGAACCAAGAAAGTGTGTGTGTGTGCGCGTGTATGTCTGTGTGTGCGTGTGTGTCTGTGTCTGCGCCTTTCACAGGAGTTTCTGTGCTAGCGTGAGCGGCTGGCGCTCTCACAGCTGAGGATCTGGGTGCGAAGGCGGCTCTAAAGGCAAAGTAGGGATGCTGTGGGGAGGAGTCAGCAGAGCAAGCAGGTGGGACAGGGACAGAGTTTGAACCTGAAATCAGGCATCTCAGTTACCTGCTCAGCTTGGCATCTAGGAGATGTGTGTGCACCCAGCCACCAGCACAGCCAGGGGTTTGTGACCTGCCTTGGGAAGGGGCTGGCATGGTAACCCCATGGCAGGTCTCTTATTTTTCAAAATTAACAGAAATAGCACTAGCATTTATGACCTTAGTGCAAGGGGTCACCCTGGCAAATATGGCTGTAGTTGTACGTGTGTGTGTGTGTGTGTGCGTGAAAGATAACGTGGACATGTTGGGTAGTGGTTTCTGAATGTGATCTTGTTTGGCAAAAGGTGTCATACCACCCTTGGCTTTGGTAACTCATAATCCTGGATGGTAGTTAATTAACCAATCAACATTTAATATACTTGTTAGCTTTTTCTTTGGAATAGTTGTGGTTTTCTTGAATCTTGAGTAGTTTGGTGCCTTGAAATTACTACATTAATCTACTTGTGAATACTATAATTTCACCAGTTATTTACTCAAAGTACTTTCTGTTTAGGATTTGCCTGACACAATTCACATTGGTGGGAGGATCGCACCGAAGACGGTTTGGGATTATGTTGGCAAACTCAAGTCTTCTGTGTCTAAGGTATCTTCTTATAGTATAAACTCTGCAACAGTAGAAGATGGTGTATATTTAAATACGTTTTTGTTTAACCTCTCATTTTGATGGGTGAACACTTGAAATGTTAGCCTACAACTTATTATGTATTTCTAGGTTAATGTTAAAAATTAAGTTTAGGCCGGGTACAGTTGCTCATACCTATAAACCTAGCACTCTGGGAGGCTGAGGTGGGAATATTACTTGAGGTCAGGAGTTCAAGACCAGCCTGAGCAAGAGCGAAACCCTGTCTTCACTAAAAATAGAAAAAGTTAGCTGGGCATTGTGATGTGTGCCTGTAGTCCCAGCTACTTGGGAGTCTGAAGCAGGAGGGTCCCTTGAGCCCAGGAGTTTGAGGTTGCCATGAGCTACGATGACACCACTGCACTCTACCCGGGGCGACAGAGGGAGACTGCAAAAAATAATTTAAGTTTATATAGTTACATTGCTATGTGAGGATGTATTTAATTTGTGTAGTGCAGTGACAGAAGTTTGTTTCTGATTTATTGTAATAATGTATATGCAGTTAAATTTTAGTAAGTATATAAGCTTTAATTCCTTGTTTTATTTTGGTTGAAGGAGCAGGAGGTAGGACTTCAGGAGTGAGCAGGCAGAGTGCGTAGCCTGGGCTTGTGAATGGGCTTTGGTTTTCTGGGACCCTCTGAAATTTAGCCGCAGCTGTGTGTTCGCGTTAGTGTCTTTGAGGAGGCTCTGTCACCGTCCTCAGGTTCACAGAGGGCAGAGCCCTCCCGAGTGGAGGTGCAAGATAGCACCTGCAGGTCGCAGCCTCAGCACCACGACCTCAGGCATCCATGGAGTAAAAGCCTACTCTGCCCCATGCCACTAAGTCTGCACTTGATGTGGGTCCTCACTGATATGCGAACTCCAGTGGTGGCTGGTGTAAAAGTAATTGTAAAGGATTTCCTATGGAAACCAGGGTTTGGATCGGGCAGTCTGGTGCGTGCTCAAGCCTGTGTTTTCTTTACTACATTATCTTAACATGTGGGACGACAGGATTGTGAAAAGAAAATTCAGAATTGCAAAAATCTCCCATTTCAGACTGTGCCTTTGACGCTTGTACAAGATTGGACATGGGTGCTTTTCTCAGGGCTGCGGGTAAATGCTTTCCCCACCCTGCCTATGTTACAGGAGCTGTGCCTGATCCGCTTCCACCCCGCCACAGAGGAAGAGGAGGTTGCCTATATCTCTCTCTACTCCTATTTTAGCAGCCGTGGCCGTTTCGGTGTTGTAGCTAATAACAACAGGCACATTAAGGACCTCTACTTGATTCCACTGAGTGCCAAGGACCCTATTCCATCCAAACTCTTGCCCTTTGAGGGACCAGGTAAGGCACTGGTTTTCTGGGTGGTGATAGGCACACCTGATACCTTACACATCTGCCCGCTCAGGTGGCTCTGCTGCTTGCTTAAGCCATGACTTTTCTAGATCAGGAATTAGGAGTACAAGTGGAGCCGTGTTTAGCAAAAGAACTCATCTTCCAGGGATAGGCGTGTCACTAGCAATGCCCCTAATAGCATAGATCACCTTAGAAAAGTTTTATAGGCCAGGTACGGTGGCTCACGCCTGTAATCCTAGCACTCTGGGAGGTCAAGGCGGGCGGATTGCTCAAGGTCAGGAGTTTGAAACCAGCCTGAGCAAGAGTGAGACCCCGTCTCTACTATAAATAAAAAAAAAAGAAGAAGAAATTAATTGGCCAACTAATATATATAGGAAAAAAAAATTAGATGGGCATGGTGGCACATGCCTGTAGTCCCAGCTACTCGGGAGGCTGAGGCAGCAGGATGGCTTGAGCCCAAGAGTTTGAGGTTGCTGTGAGCTAGGCTGATGCCATGGCACTCACTCTAGCCTGGGCAACAAAGCGAGACTCTGTCTCAAAAAAAAAAATAAAAGTTTTATGGAGAGGGAAAGAACCCACAGCTTCCAAACGGCCTGTCCTGGCCTCAGACCGGTGGATGTTGGGATGCCCAGGAGCCTGCAGGTGAGTTGGAAGGAAAGGTAACGCTGGATGTGGGCTTCCTGGGCCATGTTCTTCACTCTCGATGGAGTTCTTATTGTTAACACTCAGCTCAGGAATGAGCAGGTTTCCTTCTGGAGTCATTTCTCTAACAGGGATTAATTTCTAGAAGATGCAGAAAGTAGCAACACAGAAAAATAATTGCTAGAATTAATTTTAAATCTACAGCTCAAATTTTAGTAAGTTCATTTGTCTTTGGCAAACTGTGTTTGCTTATTCTTAGAAAGTACTGTGTTTAAAGGATTATTTACAAACTAACCTAAAAATACTTAGTGTTTGTCAAGGGTTGAGAGTGATTCTGGGAGGGCAAGGTCTGTTAGTGTCCAGCTCTTCCCCCGCCCCGTAGAAGTTGATGTGGCTTCAGTTAGGGGACTGGCATCCGATGCCCAAATGGAAGTGTCTCCTTGGCCATCACGTCCCCAGAGGACTGGGAAAGCTGACACGCAGTCACGTGTCACGGGGGCAGCAGCCAGTGCCTGAGACTGACGTATGCTGCCTAGTCCCTGCACCTCAGTGTCCATTGTCCCCGAGCCAGGCCTTGGCGAGTGCCCTGCCACAGCCATGCCACCTCCCCTGTGCAGTCCCGTCTCCCCAAGCACAGCCCACACCCCCTGGAGCCGATTCTTAACACCTGGCGTGGGTTTGGCTTGTGCCTGCATCTTGGAATTATGGGCCTGTAAAGGCATTATTGATAGCAGTAATTCCAGGCTTCGATGTTTACTGGCATGATACATTATAATTTATTTAATGCCAAATACATTTTAAAAGCAAAGTGCTTCAGTGTGTCCTCTCAAGTCCTACTTGGGGTAAAGAGATGCCACCCAGTGGGTGGCAGAAAGAACCTTGGTGGAGGTTCTTGGTAACAGCTATGCGAAGAGCTCTGGCCGGCCCTGTGTGACCAGGGAGAGGATGTGTCCAGTCCTGCTGGAGGTGAAGACCCAGAAGCCGACCTCCCAGACCCCTGCACAGATCGTCCGGTCAGTCGCAAGTGTGAGAGCTTGTGTGTAGGAGCTAACGTGAGCGTAATGGAGACGCTGGTGCCAGATAGCACCTTCCTCTCGGGAGCAAAGAGCACTTTTTATTTATATGATGTGAATTAGTAGGTACTTAGCCACTCCTTTTTTAAAACATTAAAGCAGTATTTACTCCCTTTTCCCTCCTCTCCCTGCCCCTCCACGTTAGAGTGGGCTGTGGGGGTAGGCCAGACACGGGGCTGCCGCACGGCCTTGGGGTGTCCCTGCCATCACAGGAATGGATGGAGGCTCCGATAGGCAGTGAAGGGGGCGGGGAGGCCCTTGAGGCACAGCCCCAGGCACAGAGGGAGGCGACAGGCAGCACTGGCCCTGCCAGGAGGGCACTGGGCCCAGCATGCTGGGCTGGTGGAGGCGTTCTCCTCGTTGCTGAGTGTGATAGGTACTGACCACCTGGACTCAGCCCAGTGACTGGCCAAGTGAATGTCACACTCATCCACCACGGCACTTGCTGAGGCCATGACACTACCTGATAATAGGGAGTCGAAAAAGACCCACAGACTGTCCTTCACAATGAAGAACAAATGTGCCTTGGAACAGTAAAATAGGACAAAGGAGTTTAGAAAGGTAACAGTCCACGAAGTTTTGCCCATACACTTTAAAACCTTGTTTTAACTTAAAAGACTTTAGTATGATATTTGTTTATTCTGCTGATACCACTGTTGACATTAGTGCGTATATATGAGCTTTTACACACCTGCATGGTAGTTAAACAGCCTCCACCAGGCCAGGTTAGCTGCCCAAGCTGCCTCACATTGATCATTTGACTTGGTGTTTTCTAGATACAAATGTACAGGTGTGAGTCCTGGTTTCAAGTGTGTATTGTGTGTTTGTGTGTGTGTGTGAGAGGGAGAGAGAACCTTTCTGGTTCCTTTCTCCTGGAAAGGAACCTTTCTCCTGTCTCAGCGGTCCTTGCCCTCCTGGAGTTAGTCTCTGCCCAGAAGCCTTTGGACAGCACCGGCCCTGTCTGAGGCTGGCGGCAGAGTCTTCTCCGCAGGGCCGTAGTCGGTCGTGGGTGTGTGCCGCACACACAGCCACACAACCGGCAGCAGCACCTGCACTGCCTGAGCTCACACACCGGCTGTCGCTGCTCGGTCTTCTGTGCAGCGCACGCAGCTTGGGCCTGCGGGAGAGCCAGCTCCTCCACCAGAGGGGCCTGGTCTGCGCCATTGCTCGGTGGCAGGTCCAGCCTGGTCACTGGGGCTATTGCACAAGAGAGTGACCCTCATGCATGTGCCTCGCTTTATGGCACTGAGCTACGGTGTCCTCACCTCCTGAACTTTGGAACTGAGTGGGTTTTGACAGCATAGCAGCCCTGCCCCCGGTGCCTGCTGCTCACACTGAGAAGCGGGTGAAGACACTGGAGGTGCTGAGCTGTGCCCTCTTCTCAGGTGAGCTATGGGGACAGTGAACACGTGGACCTGCTCCCATGGAGCTCCGCAAGTCCCGCACGCAGTTCTCAAAGTGTGTCTCAGAGCACCTCCAGAGAGCCTGAATATCTCTGAGGACCCTTTGTCCAGTATGTTTTTGTTTTATCTGTGAAAGTGCTGGGCTGTCTTTTCTGTCACATGGTGGCATTTTTAGTAGCGTAGTGCTACTTTGAAGGACACTGGAAGCCTGGGTCCCTCTAACTCAGCTGACCCCTTTTCTACTCAGAGGTTGGGTCAGCCCAGCTCCAGTGACACTGCCAGGGTCTCTGCATGGGACTTGGGGTTGCAGGTCTCTGCACAGAATAAAGATTAGTCAGACTGGAAGCTCATCTTGTGGGGTTCTGTGTGTGACCCTGATAGGACTGGACCTAATACCAAGACGCCCACACTAGTGACAGCCACGGGCCACCCGTTATTCTGAGTGAATCGATGGGACCTGGAGTCTGAATCTGAAATGGCTGTTGAGTGGCTGCGGGTGTGCAGGCTGTGTCTTCCCCAAATAAAGAGCGGGAGGAAACGGTGCCTTTTTCAGGAGCTCTAATGAAAAGAGTCTCTTTCTCTGAATCTTTTTACACTGCACAGCACTTGGAGGAATGTTTGAATCTGTAGTGTCTTTGTATTCACTTTTAACTGCTCTCTAAATTAGCTCAAAAACTTATGACTTGAAATACTGTCAGGTAAGCATTTCTTCAGTTTTTGTGTGTGTATGTATTGATAGCTTTGCATAGAAATTGTAACCAAAGTCAAATACAGCATCGAATGGAATGTACTACTTACTCCTCCTACATCAATAAAAACATTTCATGGAAACTGGTCATTGTTTGTTTGAATTAGAACCATTTGGTAGCTCTCCTGTTCTAGGTCTGCCTTTGCTTTTCATAAGCCAACGGGACAGGGCGCACCCAGCCCTCAGACGCCCACCCGGTAGTTGCGGGACGGCCAGCCCCTGGGAGAAGGTGGACAGCACTCTCTTAGCTGAAACCTGCACAGGGCCCAGTGGCTTCATGCAGGTCTCGGGTTTAAAATTGGAAAGTGGGAGGGTCTGTGTGTGTGTGTGAGTGTGTGTGTGGTGGGTTGGGCGAGGCGTACTGCTCCCCCCGTATTTGCCAAGTCTCTGTCCAAGTCATACTTAAGAAAGAGTCTTGTTTATTAACTTCCTCAGTTTCTATTCCAGCAGGTGTAAAAATTTTGTTTTGACAGATTCAGACCACAGGAGGGTTTTCATTTTAAATAGTGAATAGTAGATGTGCGGGATAGATTTAGGGTAAAGGAATCATTTTGACAGCCTTGGGGTTAGGAAGAGTCAGATTTCGGCGATTTATTACTGGCAGGAGCATCCTGCGGTCTCCCGCTCCCGAGGCTGCCCGCTCTCAGCAGGCGCCGTCTTCTGCAGATGCTCCTCTACTCCCCGTCCTGCTGCCGACGCTCTGGACACAGAGCTCGTTCTGGTCTTGTCTGGGAACTTGATTGGCACACACCTTTTCAGATACACTCCTTGTCTTTGTTTCTTGACTTCTCTTCCTATACGTGTGTAATTGTAGCCACCGAGTCTGAGGCCAGACCCTTCCCCCATGAAGACTTGACACAGACACGGAGCTGGGAAGGCTGCTTTCGTCCCCACTGTCATGCAGAAGAAAAGCATTCGTCTCCCTCTGGCTCTGCGGAGGGTGTCGGGCAGGGTGCATCAGCGCCCGTGTTCCCGGTCTGAGTGTCCCTGTGGGCGTGGAGAACGGCATGTTTAACGGCAGCTAGCGTGTCCATGTCCCTTCCGCATTGCTTAGTGTCCCCTACTTTGCAAATGTGGGCCTCACAGCAGCACTCAAGACGGAGGCGGGTAAGGGAGCGTCCTTGCACCCAGCCCCATCCCGTTGGTGCCTGGTCTCGCTGTAGCCTCCCAGGACATGGGCCACACTGGGGGCTGGCACACCTCACAGCTGCCGAGAGGAGAAACACCCTCTGCTGCCCACGCTCCTGGGTGAGGGACATGGTCAAAGGCTACTCGGCCTGGCCTGGTCATGCCTGCCTGAGGCACTTGGAGCCTAGCTAAGCTTGGGGCACCTCCCTTTGTGTCCTCCACGAATGTTACTTCCAGGTATTAGTTACACTTCATGCACATATTCATGCAACCGCAACAGACATGATCAGAGGGTGAAGTTTGCTTCAAAGCAGGGGTATCCATTTTGGGACAGCCCGATTTAAAATCTTGGGGAGAGGTAGTGGGGAACTTCAGAACTGACATCCGACTGTGGCTTTTTCTGTCACCAGCATATGCACACAAGACAGTCAAGAGCTGGAAGATTTAAAAATGCTGGCTGCGTGGTAGCTGCCACTCTAGATAGCTGCGGTTTTCAAAACCAACATGAACATCAGTAATTTAGTATTAGCCTTACCTATGAGGGGTATGACAACAAAGGTCAAACATTAAAGATTCTTGCCAGGGCCAGGATATACGAATTTGTAGATAAGCATACCAGGCCATTATAGTTCTTGCTGGAATGGTGCACTAAACTGGGCTGGGCCCCCACACTGCCCTCCCGAGGCTAGCACAGCAATTGGCCCCTCACAGAAAGTTTATTGACCTGAAATTTGGTTTGTGCCACCTTCCCTCTTAGGCCTGTAGACATTGAGGGCTTCACTCAGTGGCATGGCCCCCTGTGCTAGGGTGTGTTGGCCCTGGGCTGCCCCCGTGACTATCCCCTGCCGTCCAGTACTTCCAAGGCCAGCCTGGTGTGAGGGTCTGCCGGGAGTGAGCCAGCAGACAGCTGCCTGAACAATTGGCTCACATGTCAGCATGTCCCACCTGTGCTCAGCAAGCCCTGGGACCATTTGGTCCAGAAAGGCCATAATAGCCAATTTAACAATTGGCCATACCCAGGTTGAATAAGCAACAAACTATTCAGTAAACAAATAGCTATCATGGTGAGAAGTGCTATCTTAAATCAAAATGTTCTTAATTCATGTAAATTAGAAAATGAACTTAGTGGATTGCCCTTCATATTTGCCAAGCAGGAAAATGTGGACGTGATCCTCAGTTGGCCTGCCTAGCTTTTCCATGTCTGCCCTCCCGTACCCACCCCTTCCTTTCTCCCATGCGCTGCCACCGTCAGAGGGGCAGGGAAGAGGGGTGGTGGGAAGGTCCCAGGCTGTGTCCTGTACGCAGCTGAGGTGGGAGTCTAGTTGGCTCGACACACCAGCTTGTGAGACGAGAGGCCCTAAGTCTCCAGGAGGCAGTGGCAGCACACAGCCCCAGCTCAGTTGGCCAGGCCTGGGGTCCTCCTCTTAAGGGGTGCAATAGGACACCCACCCTCCCTCCTGTGCTCAGACTGTCCTGTCCATATGATAAAGTCCTTAGTGGAATTTAGGAAGATTGACAGCAAATGTGTTTAGAACCACGCGATGGTATCCAAAATCTTCTCTTCACAGAGTGAGTTGTAATCATTAAAACCACAAAAAGAACAGGAAAATCTTAGCACTAGTTTTAATTGTAAGGAATTAAAAAACCATAATATAGATGCCTTTTGTATGCCACAGTAATATTAAATTTTCAATAAGCTGAACTTACATCTTTTGATCTTAAATATATTTTCACTATTAACATTCTGTCCTTTGTACATCGTTTTTCCCCTGTTGCCGTTGTGACTTGGATTTTGTTTCTCTTTGGTATTCTAGAGTTCTTATGAGTTGGGGGGATTATTTCTGGGATGTCAGCCTTCCTGATCTAAAGTTCCCAGAGCTTAGAATGTTTACAATAATCTGTTTTAAAAAAAATAATTATCTTTAAAACTGAATGCTACACCCCAAACCTCTGCGTGCTTCCTCTGTGTGAGCTGCCCTCACCACCAGTGTGCCAGGGCCTCGTGCTTGCTCTGGCATGGCAGCCGGGGCTGACAAAGGCTTGGCCATTCGTTTTTGATAAGTTAATGCTCACTGAATTCCCTTCTAAACCCTAAAACATTCATTTTAGCCATTTCAGTCAGCAGCATTTTTCCCGTTAAGTGCCATTCTGATGCCAGAGACTAATGAATTTACCTCTTGGTTGGTCCCTTATTGAACATTTAATATTGGTGTACTTAGCTTAATTTCTGTGTTGCAACTCATAAGTTAAAGGCAAAAGGGGTTGTTACCTTTCTGATAAGTAGCAAGAGGTTATTAAAGAGCATGGCTAAGAGTCTGTCACAAAGTCATGCTGGCACGTGCCTCCGCAGGGTGGTGGTAGCGGCGGTGGGCGTCTGCATACCTGCTTCCCACCACCTCCCGGAACTATCGCTTTAACATCATGTGTAGTTTTTTAAAACACGTCACAAGTTCTGATGATGGGGATGGATTTACTCACGAGCTGGGCCCTGGGCTCTGTTTGTGGCGCGGGGCTCCCTGCTCCATCGGGACTGGGCAGGTGCTTTGGGCTGGAGCCATCCTGGCTTTGCCATGAGCTTCTCAGACCTTGATTTCATTTTGCCGTAAAATGTCTTCCTTCTACCTATTAAACATTTCCTGTGAACACCCTTAATGAAATTTACCTCTGAAGGATGAAAGCCGGATTTAAATTCTAAAATTTGCACAAATATTTTGTTTTTCAGGTCTTGAGTCACCGCGTCCGAATATAATCCTTGGGTTAGTGATCTGTCAGAAAGTGAAACGGCCTTCAAATGCTGGCGAGCCGGACAAGGGGGACGAGAAGCGGGCCCGGCTCCAAGAGGACACGGACGTTGCTGTCTGTCCGAAAGTCCCCGCGGCCCCGCAGCCTGACAAGAAGCCCTCCAGGTACCAGCTCCACTCTGGGGACACAGCCGCCAGCTCCACGCCCCCAGGGTCTCCTCCACCCCCGCCCCCGCCCCCGCCCCCTCCCCCAGAGCTGCCGGGTGCGAAGGTGCTGTCATCCTTCAAACCGCCACCCGCGTCAGCAGCGGTCCCTGTGGCGGTGGCTTCCTCTGTCACTTCATCTACTTCGAAGACCGCTTCGCCACTGGAACACATCCTGCAGACTCTCTTTGGAAAGAAGAAAGCGTTTGACCCTCCTGCCAAGGAGGCTGCTGGGCCCGGGGCCGCTTCCCCCCAGGACTCCAAAGCCAAGGTGGGCGACGGGGTGTCGGCACCTCCTCTGCTGGATCCGATCGTGCAGCAGTTTGGTCAGTTCCCACAAGGCAAGGCCCTGGAGGAGGAGGAGGATGACAGGCCGTATGACCCCGAGGAGGAGTACAACCCGGCGGGGGCCTTCGACAGCCAGCTCGCAGAGCGCAGTGCACGTCAGGACGGGCAGCGGGCCCCCGAGGCCCCCGAGCGGGAAGAGGTGGCCTACGACCCCGAGGACGAAACGATTCTAGAAGAAGCCAAGGTGACTGTGGACGACCTGCCCAACAGGATGTGTGCAGACGTCAGGGGCAGCGCCACGGAGAGGTCTGCTGAGGGCGCTGCCCCCTCTCTGGTGGAGCAGCAGCGCATGCTGGAGGAGCTGAACCGGCAGATCGAGGAGCAGAAGAGGCAGCTGGAGGAGCAGGAGGAGGCGCTGCGGCAGCAGCGGGCGGCCGTCGGCGTGTCCATGGCCCACTTCTCCGTGTCGGACGCGCTCATGTCCCCGCCACCCAAGTCGTCCCTGCCCAAGGCCGAGCTGTTCCAGCAGGAGCCACAGGCGGCACTGCCCCCCGTGGGCCAGGCCTCGAGCCAGAGAGACCCGCGGCAGGCCAGGCGGCTGGCCACCGAGAGCGGTGAGGGCCCAGCAAATAGCACGCAGGGCGCCCCACCTGTGAGAGATGCTTCCGGAGGCCCTGCTGTGGGGCAGGTGCTGGGGCTGGCCCAGGAAGAGGAGGCTCCTCCGTGGGCTCCAGCCGAGAAGGCCCCTCCTGTGTCAGACCAGGATCCCAGGGGTGAGCCCTCGGGCAGCCCCGCCCTGCAGCCCGGGGAGAGTGGCCTCCCCACCGCTGGGGGCGACAGCTCAGCCAGGCCTGCCCGAAGGGTGCTGCTGCCCACACCCCCCAGCGCCTCCTTGCAGCCCAGCTGCCCTCCACAGGGCGACGGGGCCAAGGACCCCTTCTCAGGTCCAGGGTTCGTGTCTCAGGAACAGCCTCTTGGCCCCCCCCAGTATGAGGACCCCAGACATCCTCATTCTGCTGGGAAAAGTGACAGCCCCACCCGGGAGGCTGAGGGCGACAGAGAGATGCAGGCCAGGCCTGGCGAGGGGGCCACCCTGTTTCCCCTGCCAGGACAGAAAGGAGGGGCGCCCCAGTGCCAGGGTCCCCGTGAACCAGGGCCAAGAGCTTTCGGTATGTCAGGACTTCATGGCCCCACTTTCCCCGGACCAAGGGGGCCAGTCCTTCCGTTTTCAGAAGAGAGTCTCATTCCTAACACAGAGGGGCCAAGAGGGCCACCTCCGGCCAGATTCGGAGCCCAGAAGGGGCCCCTCCCTTCCTTATTCTTAGGACCGCATGGGCCACCACCCTATGGGGACAGCAGAGGCCCCTCACCCTCCTACCTGGGTGGGCCGAGAGGAGCTGCACCCTCCCAATTTGAAGACCGCAAGGACCCCCGTGGGGAGAAAAGGGAATTCCAGGACACCCCATATAACGAAATGGCGGGCCCCCCTGCCCAACTTGAAGGACCAGAGCAAGCCCAGCACTCGGGAGGCAGAGGCCCGGCACCTTTCCAGTTCGGAGGCCAGAGACGGCCTCTGCTGTCTCAGCTTAAAGGGCCCCGAGGAGGGCCCCCTCCTGCTCAGTTTGGGGGTCAGAGAGGACCACCCCCTGGCCATTTTGTGGGCCCAAGAGGGCCCCATCCCAGTCAGTTCGAACCCGCCCGGGGCCCCCATCCCAATCAGTTTGAAGGACCCAGAGCTCAAGCACCGAATTTCATGCCGGGTCCCAGGGGGATTCAGCCCCAGCCCTTCGAAGAGCAGAGAGTAAACTCGCCACCAAGATTTGCAAATCAGAGGGCACCAGCGCCCATTCCCTTTGGTGGGCCCAGGGGGTCTGCACCCTTTTCTGAAAAGAGCGAGCAGCCCCCTCCTCGGTTTCACTTCCAAGGCCAGCCCCCCCAGGTGCTGAAGCCAGCCCCCCGGCCCCTGCTGGAGCTCCCCAGCCACCCCCCGCAGCACAGGAAGGAGCGCTGGGATGAGGCGGGCCCGCCCTCCACCCTGCCCTCCGGAGCGCCTGGACAGGGCCCTGAGGCTGACGGGCAGTGGGCACCGCCCGAGCTGCGAGAGGGCAAAGGCCATGACCACAGGAGCCAGCCCTTCGAGGGGAGGCCGCGGGAGAAAGCCCCGGAGGAGCCGGAAACCCGGCTGCCCGAGGGCCGGCCGGGCCGGGGGTTTGAGGACAGGAGGAGGGAGCGGGAGCGCGGCCACAACTGGAGCAGAGAGAGAGACTGGGATCGGAGCCGAGAGTGGGAGCGCCACCGGGAGAGGGACTCCAGCCGCGAGTGGGACAGGAGCCGAGAGAGGAGCGCGAACAGGGACAAGGAGCGAGAGGCCGACCGCGGCCGGGACAGGGGCAGGAACAGGGATCGAGAGCGCGACCGCAGGCGAGACCGAGACCGGTCTCGGAGCCGAGAGCGGGACCGGGAGAGGGCCAGGGACAAAGACCGAGAGCCACGGGGCCGAGACCGCAAGGACCGGAGCAAGAGCAAAGAGAGTGCCCAGGACCCAAAGCCTGAGGCCGCCAGGGCCTCAGATGCACAGGCCTAGGGCCCGGCCGCGGCGCCCACCGCCGGCCAGCGGGTCCCATCTCCGCCCGGCAAAGACCCTTGTAAAAGCCACGTTGATAAAATGTGTTGAACAAATAGTTTTTGAAATAGCTATGAACTTAGATTCGGGGTAGAATATTCTGGACTTCAGAAGTTACTGTAATTTTGTGTAAATGGTTTCTTACAAGATTTCACCTTTACAATTCTGATGCTTTTAAAAAAAAAAAACTAAGAACTCTTAATATTTCCATTTAAAATTACAGAAATGGGAAAATGTCTACAAGAGCATATTGCTTTTTCCGATTATAAAGTTATCTTTTCCAATAACTTGACTACTGTAAATGTTAAGGGAGTCTCCTCGGACCCTAGAGCCATACCTTAGCCGACGTCTCAGTACTTCTGTCTGCAGAAGCCGTTCTCACGGGTCTCCGGCAGCCCCAGCTGGTGCTGCAGCCGAGCTGCACATGTGTCCCCTGCCCCCACTGTGGGAGGGCAGGGGTTAGGATCTGGAATGTTGAGAAACAAAAAACTTAAAAAATGCATCTTTCTTTTGCCATAAGGAAGTTTGAATTACAAATTTCAACCAGGACACAAAAACACATTTCTTAGTTTTGCACAGTTTCTATGTATGTATCACCTTATAAATTTTTTTCAAAAAATTGATTAAAAGCAACAACATCTGTCCTAGTAGAAATTGTTGCATTTAAATAACAATTTATTGGAAAATGTTTAAATTTTACCAGCCTAAAGAAAATGACAAACCAGTTAAGTGTGCTTTAAAAGGGTGGTGGTGGGGCAGGGGTTGCTTTGATCTCAGCCTTCAGGAACGTTGTGTTTGTAGAATTTGCCACCTGAGCAGATCCTCCTTGTCCCGGGGAAAGTGCACTCGGCTCAGCTCCAAACTGAGGGATTGTCTGGCGGTAGATTTAAAGTTTGTCGTTGTAAATGGAACAATATTTGTATAAAGTCTGAGGTGGAAATTAGTTGGTCATTAGTTCAGGAACTGCAAACAAAATAGAAAGCTTGTCACTGAAATACAGTGTCTGCTTCCTGTCGTGTATTTCCAAGTACTTCTGAAGCGTGACATAGAGAAAATCCGGCTAATTTATTTGTACAAATACACTTTGATAATTTTTTATATTTTCATAAACTTACTTTTACAGATGTAAAATTAGAGGATTTCATTTGTTCTTTAGAGTCTGTTATTCCATTGTACATCACTACAGATTTTTCACTTTATAGCACAAATTTTTAAGTTAAGAAAACATCGAGAACCTATCAATTTGGGAAGTTTGGTATTTTAAACGAAGTGTCAGTAGGTTAAATTACAGTAAAGTAGGTATTGTTCCAACATCTAATATGATGTGAAGGTTTTTTTTTACATAGAAAGCAAATTTTTCTAATTTAAATACACAAATGTAAAAATCAGTGTGTTTCTTTAGGTTTACTTGATAGAAATTTCTGTAAATTGTATTTTATATTGCAGAGTATTATATCACTGTACATTAAAACATGGAACTTCATAGATTTTGTTACTTGAAGTAGAATAAACATCTACAGAAAGTTTTTGTCTTGTGTGTCTTCATCAGCCCTTTTTTAATGCCAGGAGTACCGAGGTTGGACACAGCCCTGACTGCCGGTGTCTTCTTGTGGGTTTGTGCCATGTGGGCAGGTTGCCTCGCTGAGCTCAGGGCGAGCCCAGAGCGTGAATGGCCAGGCCGGAGCCCCACGTCCTGGTCACTTGCAGCTCTGTCCACGTGAGGGCCTCCCCACTATCCGACCCCCAGCGCTGCCTGCCAGGCCTTGGACAGAGCAGAGGCCGCCTGGCCTGGCATGGTCAGAGCTGGTGTGGTTGGGAAGGCCCAGCAGGGGACATGGTGGTGGAACTTGGCCCAAGCCCCAGCCCGAGTGGGGCTGAAGCAGAGGCGGGCGCAGGCCCACATGCCCTCCCAGGAGAGACCAGCCCTGTGGGAGCTGGCGGGAAGTGAGTGCTCAGGTGGAGCTGGTGGCCCAGACCCAGCACTTTCAGGTTGAGGGGAAGCAGCTCCTCAGGTAGGTGCAGGTGAACCTTGTCCTTAAGCTTCATCCAGCTGGGAGGCTGCGCATAACCGAGTTCACCTGCCCATTCCTGGGCTTCCGAACAAGCACTTGCATCCAGCACCTGGCCACCTGCAGAGCACCTGGTGCAGCAGCAGAGCTCATGGCAGGGGGGCCTGGAAGCATGGGCAGCAAAGCAGGAGCTTCACGGGGACCCACCTGGGGCAGCAGTTCTGGCCAGGCAGCCCCTCACCACCCAGAACCACTGTCACCGCCGCGAAACCACATTGTTGACGGCCCTGATAGCTCAAGGCCACACGGACACACAGGCAGAGGCAGGTCTGCGGGTCCCCTCCCTGGGAAGGCTGCTGTGTAGACGGCACCAGGTCCCGAGGTTTTGCCAAACAGTCAACACTTCCATCCTGCTGCACGGAAGCCAAGGTGTTTCGGGGCGCAAGGCCCAGACTGTGAGAGCCTGTTTGCTTTTTGGCCCATGGATTACTGTTAGTTTCTCCAAAATGCCTGGAAACTGTGCCCCATTTAAAGTCCTCAGAAGGCCGGGCGCAGTGGCTCACACCTGTAATCCTAGCACTCTGGGAGGCCGAGGCAGGCAGATTCCTCTAGATCAGGAGTTCGAAACCAGCCTGAGCAAGAGCAAGACCCTATCTCTACTATAAATAAAAAAAAAAAAAAGAAATTAATTGGCCAACTAATATATATAGAAAAAAAAAATGAGCCGGGCATGGTGGCGCATGCCTGTAGTCTCAGCTACTGGGGAGGCTGAGGCAGCAGGATTGTTTGAGCCCAATAGGCTGATGCCACGGCACTCACTTTAGCCTGGGCAGCAGAGTGAGACTCTGTCTATAAATACATACATACATACATTCATTCCTTGGAAGTTTGTTTTTTCGCCCCAAATCCCCACTGAAACACCCCGCAGCCTCAGCCTCTGCCACCATCCTGCCCTGTCCAGGTCCCGCCCCCACCAACTCCTTCCACGACGAGACTGTGGCCCCACTCAGCCATCGTCACTGCGGGACAGGAGCGTAGGGCAGGGCACTGTGGGGCTTTCTGGAAATGTGACGGGGGGCGGGGAGTCCAGCTCCATCCAGGCCCCCAGAAGCTGTGCCCACCACGCAAGGCAGGGGCGTGCCCGGCCTGAGAGCGAGGCGCCCAGGCAGCAGGCTGCTGGGGTGCTGCGTCCTGCAGAGGCGGCTGTCCAGGAGAAGGAGACAGCACCTCGCTAGAAGACTCGGTGGGCGCCCGCCTGCCCCACCCCCCTGCGCATCTATGAGTCCAAGACAATTAGCCACGGCTGTGCCCACAGCAATGGCCGCACTCTACGAGGGGCTAGAACAGAAGTGGAGGAAAGGTAAACGCCACGTGGCATGCAGCGCTGACCTTGGCCCTGGGCAGGGAAGCAAGGGGCTCTCAGCTGCTGGGTCCTGCCACGCCTGCTTACCTCACCTGCTTACCGCAGGGCTCCCGGCAGAGAGGAAAACCAAACCCACCCCTGACTCCATATCTGGCCGTAACTGCTATTAACAGTTTGGTATATTTTCCTGACTCTTTTTTTCTGTCTCTGTGTCCAAATTGTTTTTTTGTTTTTTGTTTTTTTTTTACAAAATCAGGATTATATACATTCTTCTTCTAGGTTTATTTTTCTACTTGTCATATCCCCGGTAATTCCCAAAGGTGTCAAGTATTCACCAAAAGCATTATTTACATTTTTCACATTGTTCAAAAGGTTTATATCTTCTACTTTTAAGAGAATATGTGCTCCCCTTATATTGGTGAGGCCCTAAGTGTTCACGGGGGAGAATATGGGAAATGAAGGACGCACAAGGAAAACTGAGGTGCCCCAAAGCCGTCGAACAACGCTGCAGTGACATCCGGCCCTTCTTCTGTGCACCTGTTGCTAATGGTCGGGGCACATCACTAAGGAAATGCAGTGAGGTACAGGAGATGGAAAACCTGAAGAACAGAGACTTAAACAAAAAGAGGGTTTTGTGTGTGCGCTTCCCACAGGCAGGGTGGGCCACCGAGGAGGTGTGGTTCTCAACATCATCAGGGGCCAGGCTGCATCTGCTTTCCTGTTCAGCCCACCCTTAGCTGCACCTTTTGTCCTTGTGGTTGCAAGAAAGCTGCCCTGCAGACATCACATCACTGTTCCGTGAAGAAGCCAGCGGGAGAGACGAGGCTGACCAGGCCTGCCTGCTGCACCTGTGCCCCTCTCAAATTCAGGTCATCTCTGTGGCAGCCATGGGACCGTCCCAGCCACAAGGAGGCTAGAGGCTGAGCAGGAGGGGCTTGAGCACACTGTCCCCTGCAAACAGGGTCTGTCACCACGGAAGGTGCTACAACAGCGTGTGCCACACGCAGCATGACCAAAGCTGACGATAACAAGAGCGGATGGGGGTGCAGCGCGTGCCTGGCTGGTAGGGGAGCCAAATGGCGCCCCCGACTTCAGAAAGTTGGAGTGAAATCACCACAACCCAGAAATCCGCTCTAGAGGCTGCCCTGGAGCCTGCGTGGTCGGGGGGACAGAGTCACCCCCAGAGGGTGAAATTGACTGGTGTGTGGCTCCAGAAAGGGTCCAGCACGGAAACAGACACGCGGGAGGCGGGCATCGCGATGTCCTGGGGGGAGGGGCGCGAAGGAAAAGCGGTCTAAGGAGGTTCCCACGTGGATGCGTCTCAGGTGCAAGGCGCGAGAGCAAGCCAGACTCCGGGGCATCTGTGGGAGGAGCAGGTGGGGCGCGACCCAGGGGCCGCCCGAGGGGTGTGGGGGCAGGAGCCGGTCTATGCCTCCATTGCAGTCTTAGTTCTATGACTTTTGCATTTGTCAGAACTCAGAGACCTGCACCCCAAAAGGTGAATGTCTCTGTGTGAACTACAGGAGGAGGCTGGCCAGGGCTCACCAACCACCGTAGTGCGTCCCACTCTACACATGCACACGTGCACGCACACGCGTGTGCACACACACACCACTCACATCACACGTGTGCACACCAAACAAGGCGCGCGCACGTGCACACACACAAATCAGGAAGAAGGACGTTGGTCTCTAGAAGGTGACTCAGCATCAACCACACGTTATTGTCCCCGAAGAGGTGAGGCTTTCACTCTGCAGTGGCAGCCTCCATTGTCACAGGACCCTCACACGTGTGCATAATTACAGGATCAAGCAATGAACACGGCCCTTCCGTTTGGCAGAAGTGGAGGGAAGGCCCACTGGGGAGGAGGCCTCCCAGTCCCCTGAGCTGCCCCCGCTACTGCGCCAGCCCGGGCCTGCTGTCACGGCTTTGTCTGAACCTGGGCCTCAGCTCCTGGTCACCCCTGCCCGCCACGGGGGCGTGAGCTTTTGAGAGCTCAGACCCACCTGCATTTGCTTGGAAGTCCAAAGCAGCTGCCTGGAATTTTTCTTTGCTTTGTCTTTCCTTGGCCATGTCTAAACATGATGAGTCAACACTTCAGTGGCTGAGGGACTCTGGGGCAAGCAGAGGAAACTCAAACCTTGTTCAATATCCCATTTGTTGGTCCTATCAATCTATTAAATGACATTTCTTTAAATATTTAAATCTGCATTTCAAACACTCAAACATTGAATTATTTTTTTCTGAGACTGGGTCTTACTGTGGCCCAGGCTGGAGTGCAGTGGCGTCATCACAGCTCACTGCAACCTCCAACTCCTGGGCTCAAGCGACCTCTTGCCTCAGCCTCCTGAGTTGCTTTTGGGTTCCTCATTCAGACCTGGAGCCGAGAATTGACAGCCCTGAGCTGTCGTTTTCTCCTCCCAGGTTATCCAGGGCACTTGGGAAGAACCATCCAACCCTGTTCCCCTCTCTCTATATTTTTTTCATTTTTTTGAGACAGAGTCTTGCTCTGTTGCCCAGGCTAGAGTGAGTGCCGTGGCGTCAGCCTAGCTCACAGCAACCTCAAACTCCTGGGCTCAAGCAATCCTGCTGCTTCAGCCTCCCCAGTAGTTGGGACTACAGACATGCGCCACCATGCCCGGCTAATTTTTCTATATATATTAGTTGGCTAATAATTTCTTTCATTTTAGTAGAAGACGGGGTCTCGCTCTTGCTCAGGCTGGTTTCGAACTCCTGACCTAGAGCAATCCTCCCGCCTCGGCCTCCCACGAGTGCTAGAATTACAGGTGTGAGCCACCGTGCCCCGCTATTTTTACTAAACTATTTTAAGATGCGCAAGTACTTGGTCACCCAAATCTAGCTTTCTATAACACTGGATCACAGTTTCCTACAATGACAGATGTGTGGTCACCAGTGCCTCTTTGCCAGGGAAACAGGGTCATTGTTGCTGTGAAATCTAATCAATCAAAGATCCAACTCCAGGCAACCCAGAACCACTCTAGACGCGGTCCTCTCCAGTTCTATCGCTCTGGAACACATTTCCAGTGTTGATTCCGATCCGTGAGCTGCAACAGAGAACCAGACCCACCAGGACACTTCAGGTATGGACACAGATGTATTTTTCCTACAGGATTTGGCCTTGTGCAGT